TTTGCCTCAGAACACAGAGGTCGTTTGCATATGCAACTTGATTGGCTTTTGCCTTTAACATTCTAAACAGTTTTGCGTTTCTGAAGCAAGATGTGTCCAATCTCCAGGTGAGGGCTGGAGATCACTTAGAATTACAACTGCTTTCCAGATGGCAGAGATCAGTTCACCTGGAGAAAATGGTGGTCTCTGTATCCTTATATGCTGCTGAAGTGGCCACCATATGACAGCCAATGTGATGTAGCAGTCAGGGCTTCAGAGCACAGGAGAGGCTGCAGGTGTGTGGGGGGGGTGGAAAGCTGAAGAGTGAGGGGGAAATAAAGGAAGGTTGATGATTGGCTGGGAAGGAGATAGGGTTGCCAACAGGTGGGAAATTCCTGGAGATGTGAGGGATGGAGCCTGGAGAGGGTGAGGTTTCAGGAGGCGTGGGACCTCGGACAGGTACAAAGCCATAGCAACTATTCCCTTCTGGGGAACCATCATTGCCAATGTCCAGGTGAGGGCTGGAGATCACTCAAAATTACAATGGTTCTTTTGGTAGCAGAGATCAGTTCCTCTGGAGAAAATGGTGGACTCAGTGTCATTATACCCTGCTGAGGTTGCCACAGCAAATTGACACTGCGTGTCCAAGGCCGGGGCATCCGCCCAGAGCCTCTTTCTAGAGGCCGTTGTATTTATTTCCACAATGGGCCTTTTTCCTAGTTTTAAATTCCAGACACAATAACAACTCAATATCTATCCTTTTTCTTTCCCAACTGATAGCCTGGTTTTGGGGCTGCTGCCCCAAGTTCCAAATCTGAGTCCTCATCAGAATATGCCAGTACTCCCTCTTCGTCACTTTCCTTGGTGCTGTCATCTTTCTTTTTATCTTCTTCTCCTGCTGGTCGATTTTGTTGCTACAAAGACACCAAAGTTTTTTCAACAGTCATTTTTTTCTTTCTTATCCTTGAATTTGAAGATTATGTCTTGCAGCACATTCCATTTGTAGGGGATGTTGTTCTTTTGTAAAAATAACACCAATGCACAAAGTTCATTCTTTTCTTTCTTATCTCAAACGGAATGTCTTTTAAGATTTTAATTTCTTCGTCCTTAATCCTCAAAGTCGCTCCACTTGTAGCTTTGAGTATTTGATCTCTCACTTGTCTTCTGGAGAATCTCACCATCACTTCCCCGAGCAGATTATTTTTTCTTGTAAATTCAGAATACGACCTATAGATCGTATCTATTTCACTTTGTAATATATCCACTTTTATAGCTGCCACCGGTGCAATAGTGTCACACATCACCTGCTTTAAATCTTTTTCTTTCTCTTGAGGAACTCCTTGAAATCTCAGGACATAGCTTGCTCTTTCCATTTGCAGCTGTAATAATTGAGACTCGTCGGTTTGTCTCTTTTTCTCCATCACCTGCAGTTGTTTTTTAAGCTGCTTTGTGTTGGCATCCACTTCTTTCATCTGTTGCTCCATTCTATCTGTTTTTTTAACAGTCTCATTGAGTTGAGTTTGTTGCATATCCAGCTTTTGATGCAGTGCCATAACTTGTTCCAGCAGAGGGCGCAGCACCTCCGTCAGCATCTCTTGAAGGTCTGCAGTCGTGTCCTGTCTAGGGACAGAACTCGCTGGGCTGGCACTTCTGGGAAGAGGCTTTAGTTTCGACTGCTTGTCCTGCTCCTCCGTCTTCGGTGCCATGTTTGAGATTGTTTACTTTTTGAAAAAAGTTATCAAAGTCTCTGGAATCCCTGCAAAGGTCTGCTGGTACTTAAATATCCTTTTATTTCAGCCAACTCATTTTTATAGCCCGCCCCCCTTTCTTCTAATGCACAAAGTTCATTTGTTTTCTTATCGGGGGAGAGTTCCCTTCTCCCCTCCACTTCCCAAGGGGAGGCTTTCGACTATTTTTTAGGTGTTTTCGCTTAGACCTTGATTCACAGTTCCATGATGAAGTCGCTTTTCTCAGTAAATTTTGCTAGATCACCAGCGCTTGTTCCAGTGTGCTGCTCTTTGTCCCATTCGGGAACTATGCGAGGGGACCGTCGGGGCACCAGAATGCCTCAATCCACTGGCTACCTGCCGGGGGGAGAGGCGAACTTCAATCCCCATGGCTAGGAGCCCATTCGCAGAGCTCCTGGGGAGCACGGACGATCGCGCCCCCTCCCTACCGCAAGCTCACGGTCCACGTTCTTGGGAGCTCCCGAGGACCACGGCCGCCATCAGAAAGCCAAGACCGGAAGTCCATGATATGTAGATCTGAAGAGACTGTGGCTCAAGCTCCCTGCAATGAATAGTTTGAGCCAGATGATGCAGCTTCATACTAAACAAACAGAAGATATTGCTTAGTTGACCAGAGAAAAGCAGAGGCCAAACAAACCAGTATTTATTCTTTTTTTCCTCTTTGCAGGGCTTCCAGATCCCTGGGCAGGCAGGGTGTTGCCCACTTTAGGGGCACCCGACCCGGATCCAGCCAATGGGGGGAACCCCACCTCCGAAGTATCTGGATTGGGCTGACATGCCCAGCACGATGACATCACCTGGAGGTGATGCCACTGTGCCGGGCACGTCGCTGGGGGGACGCTCTAGCATTCAGCCTGAAAACTCTATGGTACCATAGAGTTTTCAGGCCAAATGCTAGAGCATGCCCCAGCAACGTGCCTCGTGTTATGACATCACTTCCGGGTGACATCATTTTGGCATGCATGCAAAAGTCCCAGAGCAGAAACTTCTCCCCACGCTGGAAAGAGGTAAGAGACCTAGCAACCCTACTTATGGGGACCCCATGGGGTTTTCAAAGCAAGAGACATTCAGAGGTGGTTTGCCATTGCCTGCCCACCTCCGCGTCATGACCCTGGTTTTCTTTGTCTATGCCTGACCATTTCAGAAGTTTTATATTGCCTGCCAGTCATAACCTTATTTCTTCTGCATCTAACAAGAGCTCCGAGGCCTAAGCAGGTCACAGTCCATGGCAGCCAATATTCTCATCTCAGATCCCATTTAGTTCTTTGTCAAACTCCTTGACAAAAGATGACTAAGTAGCATGTTTGAGAGGGGGGAAATGTCAGGAAATAGCAGAGGACCAATGGTTGAAATTATTTCTATGGGTGTAGGATAGCCAAAACAACCCTCCAAAGGAGCCATGGCTCAGGGATAGAGCATCTGCTTGGCTTGTAGAAGGTCTCAGATTTGATCTCCAGTAAAAGGTAGTCAGTGATGTAAAGGACCCCTCCCTGGAGAGTTGCCACCAGTCTAAGTAGACAATATTGACCTTGATGGACCAGTGGTCTAACTGAAGGATGAGGCAGCTTCAGATATATTTGTCTGTATACTTATTCAACCAAGAACTCTGCACCCAGAGAAACAGGACAGTCAGCAAAAAAAAGTAAAAAAAAGATAATACCAGTGCAAAGTGCAGTGAGTCGTATAAAACACTTCACCAGTACTAATTTAAAATTACAAAAATTCTACTGGGCTGTTCAGAAAGACGTTTTTAAAAGAAGAATAAATCCCAACAACAGCTACCTGATGACAGACAAGAATGAATTTCAAAGCTCAAAGGATATAGCCAGCAGTTGTAAGAGTAAAAACAGCAAGGATGCACTGAAACAATCAAATTATTCAGTCATACAAAAATGAAAAAGGGGAAAGAACACATGTATTATCAAGAAAAATATGCCCTTGACAAGCTGAATTACTTAAATTATACTCAGAGGAGACACATTAAGAAAAAACATACCAATAAATTTAGAAAGCAGTCTTTAATTTCATGTCCACCAGCAGCAGGACTTTATTTATTTATTTAGAAGGCAACTAACAAACTAAAATCAATACAATAAAAATATAAATTAAAAACAACAATATAAATATTATCAATAATAAATAAGCCATAAAAAACAAGCTGGGGCATAAAATACCACATAGAACAACATTCAGTAGCTTATAACGATAATCATAACACACTCCTTAGGCTAGAAACAGACCAT